TCCAGAATAAAGTTGTTATTAGAAAAAATTATAATTATGAAATAAAGCTAAAATGTTTTGACTACTGAAATTTCTTGAAGTAGTTCAACAGAACATCTGTTATCTTATGCACCAGAAAATGGAAATCATTGTTGCTGCAGATGCATCAGATTATGGTGTTGGTGCTGTAATATCTCATCATTTTTCCTGATGGAACAGAGAAAGTTATTGCAAGTGTATCTAGAACACTTAATACAACCGAACGCAAATATAGCCAAATTAAGAAAGAAGGTTTGGCGCTTATCTTCGAGGTTAAAACGTTTCACTAAGTGCTTCATGGTAGGAGATTCACTCTGTTAACTGACCACAAACCACTATTGTCGACATCTGATTCGGAAAAGAGTATTCCAATGTACACTGCGAGTCATCTCCAGAGGTGAGCTGGGATATAATTTTGATATCAAATGTAAACCCACCTGTGAAGTTGGCAAAGTAGAGGCATTATCACGGCTGCTGAGTTATCAGAATTTGGAAGACGAGGATGTTACCATTTCACTGCTTGTTGCTGAAGACTATGTAAGCAGCATTTCGGTAAACGCGACTTAACTTCTTCCAGTGACTTCATTTCGGGTTGCTAATCACACGCTTAGTGATCCAGTTTGCAACAAGTGTCAAAGTCCATCCAATTTGGCTGGCCTCCGCATGTTCATTCCAACGCCCTAAAACTGTTTTGTCAACGACGCTAACATTTATCCACTGAAAACGATTGTATAATGTTTGCTGATCACATTGTGATCCTATATAATCTTTACAACCATGTGCTTCGTCAACTCCATACATCATATCCTGGCAATGGGAGAATGAAGGCAATCGCTCGCAGTTTTGCTTAGTAGCCCAACATTGATGACCAGACCGAAACCTTGTTCGCAAATGTACCTACGAATCAAAATACCCACTCTAGATAGAACTATGTTCCTGGCCGCTGTCTGACAAACCATGGTCCCGTGTTCATGTGTTCTGCAACATCAAATGGAACAGTGTACTACTTACGTCAACTTTTCTGTCGTTTTGGTATGCCTGCTGTTCTGGTGTCCAATAATGGGTCGCACTTCACCTCATGGCTGTTCTCAGATTTCTGCCATCAGTTTGGCATCCGACATATTCGTACTCCATCCATCAATCTAATGGTCAAACTAAACGATTCGTCAACACTTTTAGGCATGCTTACATAAAACTATGGGGAAGAGGATAACCGAAGAAATCTTGAATCGATCTTTGCTGCCTTATCATATGACGCTAAATCCTTCTGCTCCGAATCAGTTGTTCGCAGCGGAAATTATGTTTGGCCGGAAAGTCAAAACTGTGCCCGACTTAATTAAGTTTAAGCAAGAAGAGCAGGGGTGCAGAGATGCAAAAATGGAAACCCAGTTCAGTCGCCATCATGGAGCCAAATGTCGAGTTCTCAAATTGTATCAGAATGTTCATGTGCGCGACTTTCGGGGTTCACCTCCAAGATGGATTTGCGCACAAATAGTGGGGCAGAAAAGAAAAGTTTTATACAAAATGAATGTAGAAGGACAGATGTGTGTCAGACACATAAATCATACACGAGACAACAGGATGCGAAACCTCACGTTAGAAGTATTAGTGGATACATTTAATCTTCCACAGCCGGGAATTCGGGACGAAAA